AAAATCTTATAAATTTATTGAGGACTAGTCACAGATCCAAAAATGAAGATGGAAATTACATTTACCAAAAGATAGTGTTTTCAATGTTTTTTTCCTCAGGAAAAAGCTGTGTCAGAGAAGAGAGAAGACAACATTCCTCTCAAGGAAAGGATATCTAACCAACTTGTGAAGAAAGAAGTAGAAACATTTTATGCTGCTTTCCTTGTCTGGACAATAGTCATGTTGATAATGTCATATTATCGCCTGGCTTCAGCACATTTACCATTGCTCTTCATCATCTTTCCACTGATTATACGAGTTGTTATATGGGACAATGTATTAACTGCAAAGACAAGTCATGAAAATGTTGGAGCGTTTTTGTTTATGTATCTCTTAGCTACACTAGTACCTGTTCAGTTCTGTATGTATTTGACATTTGCTATGTTTGACGTCTTTATGCCTATTATGGGTCGAGCTGGAACACAAACACCCCCAGATGTCTTTATAAGTGTCCTGTGTGCCTTTGGAGTTGTGCTGTTGACTTCTTATATGGTGAGTGTGCTCAGTGAAATTCAATCAATTTGCTGATTAAATACTGTTAAAATTCTGATAAGAAGATAATTAAGGGAAAGTTTGTACTTGAGCCAAGCAACCCCCCTGAATGGGATGCCAGTCCATCACAAGGATAACCCCCCCAGAATTTTATCAGGCTTCCCTGACAAACTTGGTTGGTACCTACTCTTACTTCTGGGTCCAATTGTTTGAAAGGTGATTAGTGCTAACATACAGTGTAGGTTTACATTTTATTCTTGGTTTCTTTATTCCCTTGTTTAAAAGCCTTTTTTTGGGATAATTTTCTCTATACTTTTTAGAGCATTCAACATCAAATTGTAGACAAAAAGAATTCTCCTGAATGATCTGAAATCAGATTTCACACTAACCCTGGGTTATCTTAACCCAGCTTTGAACAACTGAGCCCTGGATGGAGAGAGAGAGAGAGAAAGAGGGGCACTGAGAAAGTGGTATGTTTCTCGCTCAATAACACAACCCAATGACCTGGCCAGGTCTCAAAGCCAGACCTCCTATCAAGCCAGAGTTCAGCAAGCTAACCATTTGGCCAACACATCTCCCACAAAGTTCTAATATGCTTCTATTTAAATTTACCTTTTTTTTCTAGGTTAGCACTGTGTATGTTCTGGGAAACCTCAAGCTTCCAGCCATATTTCTTCTGTTTGTTACCACTGTAGGAATGGTTATATCGCTCTCAGGACTGTCATTTCCTTACTCAGCCATCAATCAGTGCCCTAAAAGGGTGTTCTTTCAGGTAAGAAGAAATTCATTCAATCAATTCATTCAATCATTTTCCTGCAGGATTGTACCAACTGTTTCAGCTAATTGAACTATTTTAACTAGTTGAACCAATTCAGCTAGTTTTTGCATTTTTTCTAGTGGAAGCAAATCAGCATGTTTGACTATTTTAACCACTGAAACAAATCTAGCATATCTGTGCAATTTGTTTAGTTTAACCTACTCAGCTGATTTGACCACTTTTACCAGTTGAACTTATTCAGTTAATTTGTGTGTTTTGTCCAATTTACCGGTAACTGTTTTAGCCAATTTTGGTGGTAACAAGACAATGTGAACAAACAAATAGTATGCTAGTCTCCAGATTGAAGTGAGCAGAATAAACAGACAAAAATTGTATTCAGATCAGAGGTTCTCATATAAAAAGTTTAACCCTTTGCACCAGATCTCTTTGCATTTCCCATAGTACTGACAAGGAGAATTTGTTTGACAATCAAGAACTTCCCTAAGCAATGATCATTTCCTTTATTCTTACAATGACCTGAAACAACTTCAAACAAAGTTGAAGCCTTTTCTTTTGAAACATGTCTCAACTTCCCCAACCAGGATTTGCTGAAAATGCAAGTTGCAAAGCCCTGACACTGTGCATGCTTGCATTTTAATTATTCAAGCCTTCAGCATAGATTATTACTTTTTGGAGGGTTCTAAATTCACACTGGAGTGCACATTTTCACAACCATTTATTAGACCATTAAATAGTGGGTATGTTCACACCATTGATGACGCCATCCAAAAGATGTTTTTCAGTTAAACCTCTCATCAACATTTTTTCTACATGCAGCACACATCAAGAACATTTTACAATAATGCTGGTGAAGTGGTTCAACAAGATGCAGGTGCCTGGATCACTCCACTAGACTATCTTGGCATACAGCCATTCAGTGATATACCCATGTTTAAAAAGGCTTTGCCTGCACCTCAGGACGGAGTTTATGGAGGTTTTCCTTATTACTTGCCATTGAGGCATCTTGTGCGGTATGTGGTACTTGCTCATTCAATGTTCTTCGATTGGTCTCTGGTTATTCATTGCATGGCCAATTCACTGGAATTTCATCAAAGAAAAGTATGGAATAGAATACAAGCTGTCAGGCTTTGCTAACTTAATATGTTAGACAAGTTGGGCAGAAAATACACAGCTTTGCTTTAACTCTGGAATGGGAGGGGTCAGTAGAAAATGGCAAAGAATTATTCTGGCAAATCATTAGCTCTGTGTGCTTAATTAATCAACTGGCTAAGAAATGGGGACCATGTGTTATCTATTAAGTGTTGATCTTCCTTTCATGCCATATGTGATTTATTTATTTTGCTCACCTATCCTTGAATGTTTAAGGAGCACTTTCATGGCTACTTGATAACAAAGCTACAGTAAACAATAGGTACCATGAGCCATCACACTTTTTTCTTTCACTGTTACTCAGACATCCTTATAGCATTTAGTTTGTGACATGTACTGGGTGATTTGTGATAATTGTTCCTTAGATCCCAATTATAGAAAAAGAATCCTGCATGAACCCAACTCTGAATTTATTTGATTACTATTCTGAACATTTAAAATTACTGTTTAGTTCAATCTCTAACTCTGTTTAACTGTGAAGTGTTATATTTGCAATCAGAAAATCTTGGTATCTCCCTGGTCCTCCACCTCAAGTCAAAACATCTCCAATGGAAGTGAAATTGCTACATAGGAAGAAACAGGATCAAGTTTACTCATTTAAATTCTCAATATCAGGTCAGGTTTCTCTCTTTTAACCCTTTGACCCCTTGAAGTGACCAGCATCTAATTTCTCCTTACATTATCATGTCATGCATTCATATCTCACTAGTGTCTGACTTCTAACTGCCTTAGGTCCTGATCACATGGCTGTATATGTATCACCTGCTAGTGACGTAGATTTGCTGACCTCTTCCCTTGGTCCCCTTTTACCAATTCAAGATGGTGGAGACAGAGTTGTGTACTTTATTTACTATTCTCATGGTACTGATGTGGGGCCCTGGGAACTATCGCTTGAGCTTCTGGTGAGTCGGACAATTACAGTATTAATCATACTCGTGATTACAAATCAGACTCCTGCCTTGCAGTCGTCTGACTTTGTAAGCTTCTGAAATGTTCCAGAACATTTTGTATATATATATATATATATATATATATATATATATATATTATTATATATATATATAGAAAGCTATACTGAGAGAGAGTTACTGCTGAAGATCACTTATTTCAAGGAACTGTGGAGACAGCAGTGAGATTGTGTCAGTGGTGAGCTAGGATTTAGACTGTGGTGGGCTTAATTAAGTTTATTAATGATAAGTATTTTACTGCTTTGAGGAGTTGCTCCTTGTCAAGAACATCACTTGCTGTTTAATAAAATATTAAGTTTGTAGGATTGTAGTGTTTTCTGTCAGTTAGATTATACAATAACAAAATAAACTACCGGTATTAGTATCTGGTGTTTGAAAATTGATAACCTTAGTCTGTAAGCAGGTCCTTATTATAGGTGCTTTGGCACAAGTGTTTCTTCACCTGCAGGAAAATATGAGGCCTTGAGTAACACAGCACCACAGTTTTGTAGAAATGTACACCCTTTAAAAAGTGCAAGACTTCATTTTGTCGTTATAGAAATGAAGAATGCTTCATATTGTTGTTACAAAAACAAACAATGCTTTTAGGGTCATTACTCAAACATATTTCAGTTCTGACTAAATGATTGCTTTCTGTGTACTAGTCAAAGTCTTCATGGTTTTGGTGGAAATGAACACTGCATAAGTGATAAAGATTTCTCAAATTCACAAAACGTTTGTGAGTTCAAAACAAGTTCATATCAAATGAACAATGCTTCATTTTGTTGTCATCACTAGAACATATTTCTTTTCTGATCATCATCTTCATGGTATTATTAGGAACAAACAGCGCTTTATTGATAAAGATTTCTCAACTTCATTACCCATTTAGAGTCTGTCAGTTAGATCTTTTCAGTATTTGTTTCCTCGTGAGACATGACTCAGGATTTCTGGCAACAAGACTAAAAGTTTCAGGCAACTTGACTCTGGTTTTGAGCAACATGACTTTTGGGTGACTTGACTTGAGCCCTGGTGAACCCCCTCCCTGACCTGTCTCAAGTATTCCTTGGGCAGAGAAACGTGGGTCCTGCAGTGCTGATAGCAAGCACTTGCTCTCAGGCTAATATATCCCAAGATTCTTTTAATTTAAATATCATTTCAGCCAAAAAGACACCTCCCGGCCAAGAGCAATTTGTTGGACTTTGCTGTGGCAGCTCATTATATTCACGGTAAAGAGTCATCTTCACCTTTCCTCAAAGAAGTCATTCAAGCTATTCCAGACTGGATTTTTGCTAATGATTGGGTGGACACATACAAGAGCTGGTCTTACACTACATAATTCCCTGTATTGCAAGAATGCATCAGTCCAAGACCTTCTAAACACTGCTATGAAATACTGAAAAACAAAAATTTCAAGCCAGGAATTTGAAGAATTGCACCAGTTTGAAACAGTTCACAGGTTGAAAATTATCATGAAGATTTTTACATTTTAGGGTGGATGACCTCAAAATTATTTATCAGGATTATAAGAAAATTTGACAGGAAAAAAATGGATGTGAAATAACACATCATCAGAAGAAGTCAGGCTGGTCATACATGAATCCAAAAAATTTTTAAAATCACCTTAATTAATTTATAACGATTTTATCTGGAAATTAAGTTCCAAATAAAACTAAGGAATCAAGAAACATAAAGTAAAGGATTGTTTGCTAGCCTGTAGTCTGTCAGCAGACCCTCAGTATAATGATCCCCTTTAATGCCAAAGAGTGCCGTAGGGCATATTGAGGGCATAAAAGCATAGCCCCCTCCAATATGACACTTGATATACCACCCTTCAACTTTTTGTCTTTTTATTGTATTGGTCAAGGTTATATCTCACAACAAACAATGCTCTAGGAGCTACAATTTAAGCTATAGTTTATTTAACAATTGGTTCATACGTCGGTGTGCGTTCATCGAGATATGAAGCACGCGGGAAGTTTGGAGAGCACGAAAGATGCATAAGAGTTGCTCGAGGCGTAGCTCTAGCTTCTTGAGTGCTCTCTAAACTTCTCAAGTGCTTCATATCTCGATGAACGCACAGCTGACGTATGAACCAATTGTTTTATAACATTTTCATCCCGATGGAAAATTTTTTTCTCAAGGGATTTGTTTGCTGACGTCATGAGCGTGCACAATAGGAATATGAAGCACGCTCGCGCAATTGAATTTGATTACTAGCTCTGTTCTAATATAAGAGCGCGTAAATTCAATTGCGTGAGCGTGCTTCATATTCCTATTGTGCACGCCCATGACGTCAGCAAACAAATCCCTCGAGAATTTTGCACTCAATCAGAAAATAAAGTTCATTTACACGCATGAATTCACCTGTCAGTTTTTGACCAATCTAAGACAAGATCGTTTACAGCGTAGCGAAATGTTTTCCTGAAATAAAATTATCAACGCGCTGAAGCGTAGCAGAGCGATTATCGACCCTTTCACAACATTTAAACCATCGGGTTGAAAATGTTATAAAACAATTGGTTCATACGTCAGCTGTGCGTTCATCGAGATATGAAGCAAGCGGGAAGTTTGGAGAGCACGAAAGATGCGTAAGAGTTGCTCGAGACGTAGCCGAGAGCAACTCTAGCTTCTTGAGTATATACCCCATATGTATAAGGCAAACAAAATTTCAACCTTTTTTTTTTATTTTTCACTTTGAAAACTCAGTATTTTTAGTTACATCCTCCTCGCCTGTTTGGGTCGTTATAGCATACCCCTGAAAATACCTTTGAAATGATATATTATACGTGGTCTAAAGGTTCATCGTTCTCGTTTTAGAAAAATTTGGCATTTCCCTAAGGCAGTAAAGGGATAACCGTTTCCGCACGAGTGATTCTTTGCTTGCGGGAGAATATGAGGCCTTGTGTGACGCAATCCAGTCAGCAAGGGGTCTAGTACTCATTATTGATGCTAAACCTCCGTCAACTTCTCCCTGACATTTTTCAAACTTTCCTGTGGAAAGAGAAACGCATGTCCTACACCCTGTTCAAGCAGTTTAGTTAGAAAAATGGAGCATGATGCTAAACTGAGCGACAGTAGCGGCAGAGCGAAAAGAGGAAGGAGGTTTTGGATTGAGTTGGATAAAAGTGGAAACCTTGATTCTATTTTCGCTCTGCTGCCACTTTGTGCTGTTCACTATTGTGCTCGATTTTACTGGCCGAACACCTGGAACAGGCTAATTGTTTTCAAATTTTAAGTTCTTAACCAATTTAAAAGGGATATAGCTATCACCCCTGGCTTTTACAAGCCTTTAAAGAAAAAAGCTGAAACGAGTTGGAACTCCCCCTATTGCCAGCGTAACTGGCATTTTTGCGTGCGCTTTGATATGTTAAACCAGGAGGAGCCTTGGAAACATGTGACAAAGCCATGAGAGGCTTGGAACAGGAAAAGTGGTTTCTCTGACTAAACCTCCACTTCTTATGGGGAGCCATTTGTGCCAATATCATCAATCGCTAGTGATAAAACTCAATCATTAGTGCTAAAATATCAATCGCTAGTGATAAAACTCAATCGTTAGTGCTAGCAACAACTCCACGAACTCCTTGTGACAGAAGAGACCTTAGGTAGACCATCCTGTCTACCTACCTCTCGCCCTGACTTGAAACCGACTCAAAGCCCGAGTCTCCGAGGATGACGCAACACGCGCTTAGCGCGAAAAGAACAACAGCACAACTCTGTCGATTGTGACTGTGCTCGGCGCCTGATGGACAGCAAAAAACCCGTTTTCTTTAACTTCTCGATGCAAAACATTAATTAATTGCAAGAAAGCCTCATTTTTGGGGGTTAGAGCATTTATTGTAAGAGAAACTCAGTCCGACTCAGGACTGATCCTGAGAAAAAAAATTGTTTATCTCTCTTGTATGCTACATGCGCCGCCGTTTGCAATTTGTACACAACATATTTTATCATATGAAAATCCGACAGTTTTTGTCCTGCGCAGTAAGCCATCAAGGCTTGATATTTTGAGAAAGTTCCATTTTTCAAGAGAAGATCGAACAACGAAATAAACCTTGCAATAATTGTTTTTAAAGCGGATGAATAGAGAGATATATGGGTCAATGTTTGCACATTATTTGAATGACTTCAAATTTGATTCCACCAGTAGTACGGTCATATGAATTTTCTCGGCTTGATGAGTTAGCAAATTTTGTAGGTATGGTTGGCTTTGTGAGCTCCGCTTTAATAAGATAAAATAGATATATGGGATCGAACGAGGTAAAAGTGATTGATGATAAATGGACTCTCCCCGGGGATAAAGTTAATTCTGTTCTCATATGGTTTCAGCTGGTTTGTGCTAATTTTAGTTAAAAGTAAAACTTGTCATTAGTAATTGATTAAAAGATAACAATCTTTTAGTAAGCCTTTTGTTCCAATAGCCTTGACAATTGGTCATCAAACGCTTGAATACGTATATGTTTTGATAGTATGCCAAAACAGTACTAGCACTTTGCGCCTTCTGTGCGCCTCTCACGCTTTAAGTTCAATAGAAAATTACTCCATCACCGAAGAAACTCAACTTTGAAAGGTAAATGGACACTTACGTATTTTATTTTTTTGTCATGAATGCATGGTGCGAGTATTAATGCGGCCTAGTTTTGCTGGTAGTTTTTCTTTAATTTTTCATCTTTCAAATGCGAAAAAAAAAACTTCAAGGAAGTTTTCCCTTTCACAGTGATGACATTTTAAACAGGCTAAGTCTTGCAAGTTTACAATTGTAGTAAATGAAAAATGACGAGTTCAGACCTGATAGTTTTAAAAGCGTGATGTATACCACTCAGTTTAAGATACGGCTGTCTAAGACAGCCGTAATCTTCACAAGAAACGTGACCAAAAATTGGTTTATTATTTGGTTGAAAGCTGTATTGAGAAAAAACATGGATAGTCCTCTGGCATCAAGTAGACTGAGCTTCCCTTTAATGTACCGTTGTTATCGACGTAAAATGACCCGTTTTAGAGAAAGAAGTGAAAATATAAAAAATAAAATATATGGTAAAATATTCTGTGAATTTCCATTTTTGGAAAAAAGAAATAGGACGTCTTTCCCATATCAGTAATGATGTTTTAAAGACGTTGGCCTTGATACTTCACTTTTATAATTTTGGAAAATCGGAAACGATAGGTTCTGGGAAAAGATTTCAAAAGCGTGATGTATATTCGTCAGTTTTAGACAGTTGTGTAAGCCGGAATCTTCACAGGAAACCTGGCTCAGAATTAATTCATTCTTTCGTGAACAGGTGGAGTTGAGAAAATATGTTCAGGTCTTTTGCTTCAAATCGACCGAGCTTCCCTTCATGTACCACTTTTCATAAACACAAAATGACCTATACTAGAAAAAGAAGCCGGCACCTGATAGGGAACATTTTATGCCCATTTGAGATTTTATGGATTTGAAAAGAGGTGCGAGGTCTTCCACCCAGTTTTCTAATTAAAACGCATGGTGCTAAGAACTTTGCAAATTTCAATCATTTTAAAACATTCCCCATTTAGATCGCTGGCTTACATCTGAAATAAGGTATTCTCTTTTTTTTTCTTAATCAGGGTGAGTGATACTTGATATTCTGCTTGCTGCTCCAGAGTAAACTGACATGAAGGTAATAAAACGTAAAGATGTTTTGCGTATGCGATCTAAATTCAGAATGTTGCTCCTTTACTCCAGGCTTACCTTCTTGAAAGTCGTCTTTCACGACTTGAAATCAATGATATGTCACCTAAATGAAGAGTTAAAAACAACAGAACAAGACCAAACACATCAAAACAAATCAAAGGCGGAAAACACACTTTGCACAATATTGCGGGAGGTATTTTACCGTTGGCCTCACATTTGTCTTTAGAAAAAGCAATACATTGAGGCATGAGTGAGACATTTGGCCACAAAATGGCTGGCAATTGTTTCAGGAAGTTCGGGTGATATCTAAAAAGCTCAATACACGGACATCCGAACAAAAAAAAAAAATTCGAAGGAGTGAATATTACTGTGCTCAACTGCTGTTCTCACGTTAACCTCAAGTTACGTAAGACTCGGCTTTAATCATCAAGCTACAGGAACATTTACATTGAATAATGATAGAAGTGGCTCATATTGTACTCAGTTTTAGGCCTGAAACTTAAATCGGCTAAGCTCTGGGATTTGCTGTTTAAATCTAAAAAAAAAAATTGAGAGCAAACGGAACGAAAAGGCCATTTGTTAATGTTTTATGCAATCAAACGTGAGTTTGTGATAAGGTGGATCTGAAGCCCATGTGCTTTTATGACGTATTTTGATGTGATAACCACTTTGCAGTAAAATTAGAGGAGCCAACAAGCGTGGTTTTAGATTGTCATTACTTAACCGGAAATTAACAAATTCAGTTGACGCCTCCATCTTTCAGTAAGTGTTCAATAATAATGTATTTATTTTAGTTATTTTTGTTTACCAACTAAAAACTACCAAGATTACACAAATGAAATGGATGTGTGTATGAGAGTTTATTATATCGCTGGCAGAGCCCGTGGGCAATATGAGGCGAATTCTGTGTTCTAATTGCCCACCTGAGCGGGCCCATCTTGTCCGCAGGGAATTTCCCATTTTGATTCAGCGCAAGAAAAAAATTACTCAGAAAAACAACTTTCTTATGTTTGGACAATACCGGCGATAAGGTCGCAAAAAGCGGCAAAAGACAGTAAAAAACAAGATAACATAAATGATAAACTTAAACGATCCTCGTAGGTTTATTTTCTACAAACACAGGGGGCTTCCTTTCCAGTCTTTCGAAATGAATGAGTGCTGATTCTTAATAAAGCGATGATCTTTTTGTTTATTATGAATCCTTTATTGACTAAGCTTGTTCGGTCTAAATGGCTGGATATTAGCCTCATTCCTTTTTCCGTGTTATTGACCTCGACTTAGTCTCGTCCATGAAAGCACAAGAAAGGAAATCGGCCAATATTTAGCCCTCGTGACCTCACACTTGTTCAATACCGCATATATAGGATAAACTAATAAGATTACCGTTTTTCATTGATACTAATTTTAAAAATAATTTTATTTTCCTGAAGGGATGCCTCAGTCACGAATTGTTTTCCTGTTAGTGATGTCATTTGGAGTACAATGCTTAGGTATGTTAACACTTTATTCTTATGGCCTACACATAATGTGTTACAAGTCTTATCAGGTGCCTCAAGCTGAGGAAACTCTTTAAGGTGGCCAATTTACGTTATAAACTAAGTTTATAAGAAGAATTATGGGTTGTGTGTGAGTTTATATGCAGAAAATGGAACTAAGCTATTGGTGGGAACAGGGTGACGAGAAAAACAAGAATAAATTAGGTGAATGAAGAGCGTTCGCTGATACCGTGGGAATTACGAGTGAGCACAGGGCAGTCTGCGACCTTCCTTACAACTAAGCAGTTTCGAAAGCCGCAAAACTCTTGAACAATTATTTATCTTTCAAATCGGAACTCTTAATCCCCGCAGTATCAACGAATGCTCTTCATTCAACTAATGTATTCTTGTTTATCCATTTCCTGCATATAAACACACACGCAACCCACAATTCCTCCATTCTCTGTGAAGAAGGGCTAGCGCTCGAAAGTCAGCTTTGAAACTCTTTGCGGTGGCCAATTTACATTATCAACTCACTTGATAAAGCCAAAATTATCTTGTTATACTCCCTCACCAAAACGGCAACCCAGTTTCTTTGGAAACTGACCCCCTTTATCAAATGATAAATAGCATGGTTTCCGCAGGGCATTTAGGACAACTTCCAACTAAATATCACTCGCAGCTTCGCCGTTGGTGATATGAGTGTTGAACACCCATGATTTTCAATTTTCACTAAAAAAGTAACGTAACGTCACTCACAGTCCACAACAATCAATATCGGTCCAATTAGAACGAAATTCAATATCAGCAAGATCTCCCCTAGAAATATTGTTACGGGAAAATTTACTGATTTTTCCGTGTGTTTGTTTGGAACATATTCATCCGTAAACTTTTCACATTTAGCCATTTCCAATTTATTCGAGCTCATTCAAGTTCTTTCATTCTAGTAAATAATAATAATAATAAAAAAAAACATAAAAAACCACCGTAGCTTTTGAGTAGTAAACTAAGAGATTTTTGCTTCGTTCTTGCTTTCATATCTGCATGTCGGTACTTTTGTTGTTCGAGATCGAAGGATCACTACAAAGAAGACTTTTCTAGTTAATTAATTCACCAGCGAATTTTGACGCGTTGGTACGAAGAAGCATACATTACATAAAACCAAAACAAACAAAACCGCGAAAGCGATTACGCTTCGAGTCCAATTTGAGTTGTGACTCTGAAGACGAAACAAGCGAGACAGAATCAGAAGCTATTGAAGAATTTTGTGCCGAAAACGCTGTCGCAAACGAAGGTGTGTGCGAAGAACCTGATAGTGAATTCGAGCGAAGCAACCCGTTGAGCGACGAAGACATCAACACTCGACACGATATGCAAATGAACTCTGACGAAATGAGTGATTTCCGAAGACAAGTTATGGATATCCAGCAACAAATGTGTAGACAATTTCAAACAGCAATGGAAGGGGCAGCTGTAACTGAACCAGCCTTGGCGAAGCCTACACTGTTCCATGGCTAGGAGAATGAAAACTTAGATCGACGGCTCCAGCGTTTTAATCTTTATTTAACCAACAGAAAAGTCAATCCAGAAAGCGATCAAGCAGCCATCCAGTTAGCTCTACATCTCCAGGGCCCAGCTGAGTTATATTACTACAATCTTCCAAGCGATGTACAAAGCTCCTTCAGATGCTTGAGTAATGCCTTGAAAGAGAGGTTTTCGCCAGCACATTGCTCATTAAGGTTACGACAGGAACTTTCAGTTAGACGCCAGGGTTCAAATTGAACAAATTGATTGAAAAATAACTGCCTGACCTGAACAACAAATTTAGCTGTCTCGATTTACGCGACGAAGATAAATTGAGTTATTTGATTCAGGGCCTCAGACCTGACATCCAAGCCGAGTACTAAAGAAAGAACCTAAGACATATGCTGCCGCAGAAGACACAACCCAGTTGATTAACTCAATCCAGCAATCCTTATCCTAGCGACGCGAAGACGACATATCACGGATTGTCCTGCAGGAAAGATTATTGAGATCACCATCTAATACCAGTCCAAGTAATCGGGAGTCTTCCGCATCAGACCAGGGAGTTTCAGCCATAATTGAACAATCCCACAAGAACACTGCACAGAGAGAAGACTCGTTTTAGCTAAGCTCGAAGCCCTGTTAGCAAACAACAATGGAAAGAGGTCTGATGACCCAAAAGAACTGACTCTTTTCTCCAAGTTGAATGAACTCTTGACCAAGGCCCAAGGTTCCACTGGGGACTCGCCAAAGCAGTCCGTCGCGCCCCTCACAGCTTACTCAGAACCAGAGAGACGGGGGACTCCGGATTATAAACATGAAATCCAACGCGTGGAAGCTAAGTTGGAAGAATTCTTCCGACGCATGGATGCTCGAATAAATGACCTGGCCAGGAGAAATCAATCCGTGAAGAACCGCCAAGACAGCGCACACGAGAACGACGGTCTATTTGTTACTCGTGTGGGCGAGTTGGTCATGTACAGCAAAATTGTAATCAGAGGTCTCCACGTGAACCAAGTCAGAATTTTGAGCGGTACCAGCCAAACTACCAACATCGCCAAGAAAGCGGAAGTTATCCTCCACGCTCCGGTTATAATCAGCCACAACGAAGAGACGAATTACCCTCTGTAAATCCAAGAAGTCTCGTTTGGCCGCCGTGGATGGTCAATATCATGAGCCCGACCCTCTGGCTCCGGTAAAAGAAGATATGTTCCCACAGATCGCACGCGAGTTTCTCGAAATGGACTTCGGTGAGCGTGACTCCCAAGCCGATGAAGAACTCCATCAACAGGTCCAAAACGGGCTGCAATTCTACGCAGAAGCAGCCAGATACTACAAAGTGCAGGGAACAGAGCCAACAGACGTGATTTTTTCAGCTCTAAAACGACCACTGGGCGCTTGCCAGCAAATAGTTCAGGACGCTTATGCAAATGACTACACTCTCAAACCCAACACTGAGTATCCTGGTAGTACGTCGCCAGGAAGCCTGGGAACGAGAGCCAACTTAGGGATGACCAGCCGTCGACTGGGCACGAGTGAAAGTCCACAAAGAAAGGAAGAAAATAAAACCCAAGAAGAAAACGAATCCTAAATGCCAAGTGAAATGTGAATCTACTAGAGCTACTCCAGAGCAGTTTAAGAGTCTAGTGTGTTCTACGGGAACAATGGTTGAAAATGATGCCGACGCTATTGTAAACTCCGAGAGTGCAGCGGCAGTTAACCCACTTCCAGACCCCTCTCTCCCATCACCTAGCATTTCCGCCGGATGTGAACCTGAATCAGTCATCTCAGTTCCAGATCCTTTTCTGCCACCCCTTAGAACTTTCGCCGGATGTGAACCTGAATCAGTCATCGCAGTCCCAGATCCCTCTCTGCCACCCCTTAGCACTTCCTTCGGATGTGAACCTAAATCAGTCATCTCAGTTGCAGACCCCTCCGTGTTATCACAACCAAGTATTTCCGCCGGATGTGAGGAAAATTCGCCACCCAGTGTCCCGGCTCCTGACCAGACCCCATGTGAATCTATTGAAGCTACCGCTGACCAATGAAACATCACGTCCGATGAGCCGAGATCACGTGTTCTCACGGTTACCGCCCAGTTGAATGAGAAAGACTCAGGGCTACTTGTAGACACCAGAGCAAACATGTCTGCCATTGGTGAACAGTCCATCAGAGACCTATTTGACGGAAAATTACCCAGTTTACGGAAAAATCCCCGACTACCAGTTATCAGATCCAGTAGATGCTTTGAAGACAGTGACAATCTCAGCCCTTATCCTGTTCCTCGCAAATTCCCAGACACAGACTTTAAGATGTTTGACATGCAAGAGCAAATTAACAAGCTTGGAATGAAGCTAGATGGAATCGTCCGGAATATACAGCCTAAACAGGAAGTCAGTTTTAAATGGAGGAAGTACAGTTTCAAGACTAAACCGGTATGTTATCGATGTGGACGCCGTAGCCATATTCATTATTACTGCAACTGCAACCAATCTAATGACGGTTTCCGGAAGGAGAGACAGATCCTACATCGTGCTATCCAACCAACTTACCGTCAACCAGAAGAATCTTCCACTTACGAAGAAAAGAACCTATCGGATGCTGAGGGGACTGTATCACAACTCGAGAGTCAGGAAACGCCACAAACAACCCTAATTTACTACAGAAGATGAAACCTACACGAACCAGTGACCAAGGTAGAAAGCCAAGAAATTCAAACCAGAAGCCAAGAAAGTTACAAATGCCAAATCAGTTAAGTGTCCAGCTACCCCTCGTAAATGAAGCAGACACGTACCCTACCAACCTGATCACTAAAGGCAAAATGGCAGGAAAACCTGTTCGTCTAGTGTTGGATACTGGTGTAAGCGTTTCAGCTATAAAAGAAGAAGTTTTAAAAGAGATCTACGGTCACGTTCCCTTTTCTGCAGTTCAGACTGGGAAAGACAACCTACTGCGAAGAACAATTATCTTGCCGTTATATCTTAAGGAAAGTCAATTCCCCTGTGAATTCCAGGTCGTGCAGAACCTCGCTTATGACGCCATCCTTGGTCGCGATTCCTCCAAGTAAACAGAGCTATGATTGACCTCGATAACAACACCGTTACTCTAAAAGAATCAGCAAATCAACAAGAGCAAGCATGTTCAGCCTCAGTGCCTTTGACAGGAACATTTATACCCCAAGGAAAGAATGTCAAAGCGAATGGACACGCCTCTACCAGTGAAGGTTCAGTGCAGCCTCCTGCAGGAAATTTGCCTTCCCGTTATCCAAAGAACAAAGAAGTTGCACTAAGTCAGTCGCTATTGATATTAGTGCTTATCGCTGTGTCCCTGTCCGCAACATTTCTCACCGACGCAAATGGTAACTTCAGTTCTGTTATTCAAAAGCCACTGCCGTCCTTCGTACAGGTGTCACAAAAGAAGGTTTGGCACCAAGGTGATCTTTCTGATACTCCAGCCAAAATTGATTACAGAATGGAATCTACCGAGGGATTTGATCAATATCAAGAAGCACCTCCAGGAATGGAAATGCCTAAGTTCATGATGCACCTAAGAAGACTACTTATCCTCAGACCCATGACTGACT